ATCAAATAAAATATATATTAAATCTAATCATTAAATATAAGCAATATGCTAACTTATGTGACGAAAAAGGAAATATTGCAACAGATACTACAGAAATACAGAAGATAATTAGAAATTATTTTGAAAACTTGTACTCCAATAAAAATATCAAAGGCATTGACAAATTTCTAGAGTCATATAATTTGCCCAAATTGAATCAGGATGATATATACAATTTAAACAGTTCAATTTCAAGTGACAAAATAGCAGACACCATCAAAAGTCTACCAACCAGTAAAGCCCAGAACTGGACAGATACACAGCCGAGTTCTACAAGACCATTAAAGAAGAACTAATACCCCGATACTCTCCAATTTATTTCAGGAAATAGAAAAAGAGGTAGAACTCCCAAACTCATTCTATGAGGCAATATCACTCTGATTCCAAAAAGACACATCAAAAAAAGAAAACTTCAGACTAATATCTCTAATGAACATAGATGCAAAAATTCTCAATAAAATTCTGGAAATTCAAATACAAAAACGTATCAAAAAGACCACATACCATAATCAAGTGGGTTTCATCCAGGGATGCAAGGCTGGTTCAGCATATGAAAATCAATAAATGTAATTCATCCCATCAATAGACTTAAAGATAAGAATCATATGATCATCTTAATAGACACAGAAAAAGCTTTTGAAAAAACACAGCACCCCTTTATGCTCAAAATTCTAGAAAAACTAAGGATAATAGGAACATATCTCAACATCATAAAGGCTACCTATGCTAAGGCCCAGGCCAACATCATTCTAAATGGAGAAAAATTGAAGGTATTCCCTGTGAAAACTGAAACAAGACAGGGATGCCCTCTTTCACCGCTCTGTATAATACAGTTCTTGAAACACTAGCCAGAGAAATTAGATGAAAGAAATTAAAGGGATACATATAGAAAAAGAACTCAAATTGGCACTATTTGCTGATGATATGATTATATACCTGGAAGAACATAAAACTTCCTCAAGAAAACTTCTAGAACTAGTAAATTAATTCAGCAAAGTAGCAGTATATAAAATCAACACCCATAAATCAAAGGCATTTCTGTATATCAGTGACAAATCCTCAGAAAGGGAAATGACGAAAACTACCCCATTCTCAATAGCCTCAAAAAATAAAATATTTAACAAAAGTGGTGAAAGATCTATATAATGAAAATTACAGAACCCTAAAGAAAGAAATCAAAAAAGACCTTAGAAGATGGAAAGATGAACCTTGTTCTTCAATAGGCAGAATTTATATTATCAAAATGACCATACTTCCAAAAGCACTACACAGATTTAATGAAATTACCATCAAAATTCCAATGATATAGGAACAGCCGCCGCACGGCGGGCTGCCGGCTGGCTGCCGGCTGGCTGCATCTCGGGCGTCCGCGCCTCCGCGCCGGGCCGCGCTGCGCCTGCTCCACCCTTGGCGATCCGGTGCGTCCTGCGCGGGTCCAAGCCGGTGAGCCGCGGCGGCCAGGCTGGCTGGGCCGCGGCGGACGGCCAGGGCTGGAGCGTCCCCGGCTGGCGGGCAAGCGCACGCTGCTTGGCGCGCGGGCTGACCGCCTCGCGCCCCCGGGATCCGCGATGTTGGGCAGCTCCGCGCCGCGGCCTGTGGCCCGCGAGACGGGCCGGCACTGCAGGCGCTGCAGCAGACGGGGTTCCAGGAGGACCAGGAGAACATCAACCCGGAGAAGGCGCCCGCCCCGCAGCCGCGGACCCAGGCCGCGCTGGCTGTGCTGAAGGCCGCGAACCCGCGGTGTCCCGCGCCGCAGAAGCCCAAGACGCGCCGGGTAAAGGTCGCACCTCTAAAGGATCTTCCGGTGAATGATGAGCATGTCACTGCTGTTCCTCCTTGGAAGGCAAACAGTAAACAGCCTGCATTCACCATTCATGTGGATGAAGCAGAGGAGGAGACTCAAAAGAGGCCATCTGAAAAAAGAACAGAGTGTGAGAATGTCCTGGCTTTTAGTACAGCTGCTACTTTACCTGGACCAAGAAAACCTCTGGTGCCTCTGGATTATCCGATGGATGGTAGTTTTGAGTCGCCACACACTATGGATATATCAATTGTGTTAGAAGATGAAAAGCCAGTGAGTGTTAATGAAGTGCCCGACTACCACGAGGATATTCACACATACCTTAGGGAAATGGAGGTCAAGTGTAAGCCTAGAGTGGGCTACATGAAGAAGCAGCCAGACATCACTAACAGTATGCGGGCTATCCTTGTGAACTGGCTGGTTGAAGTGGGAGAAGAATATAAACTACAGAATGAGACCCTGCACTTGGCTGTGAACTACATCGACAGGTTCCTCTCGTCCATGTCAGTGCTGAGAGGGAAACTTCAGCTTGTGGGCACAGCTGCCATGCTGCTAGCCTCAAAGTTTGAAGAAATATACCCCCCAGAAGTAGCCGAGTTTGTGTACATCACCGATGATACCTATACCAAGAAACAGGTGCTGAGAATGGAGCACCTAGTTTTGAAAGTCCTTGCTTTTGACCTAGCTGCACCAACAGTAAATCAGTTTCTTACCCAATACTTTCTACATCAGCAGCCTGCAAACTGTAAGGTTGAAAGTTTAGCAATGTTCTTGGGAGAGTTGAGTTTGATAGATGCTGACCCGTACCTGAAGTACCTGCCATCAGTCGTTGCTGGAGCAGCCTTTCACTTAGCTCTCTACACTGTCACAGGCCAGAGCTGGCCTGAATCGCTGGTACAGAAGACCGGATACACCCTGGAAAGCCTCAAGCCCTGTCTCCTGGACCTCCACCAGACCTACCTCAGAGCCCCGCAGCATGCACAGCAGTCCATAAGGGAGAAGTACAAGCATTCGAAGTATCATGGAGTTTCTCTCCTCAACCCACCAGAGACACTAAACGTGTAACGTGGAAGACTGCCTGTTTTCTAAGATGTAAATCCCTCAGAGTACATGGTGTACAGTTTTTATCTTGGGTTGTCATTTCACAATCATTTATGAACATAGAAGTTATGGTCAAGGACAAATTATGGTATCTATTACTTTTTTAATGGTTTTTATTTGTATATCTTTTGTACATGTATCTATCCTAGATATTTGGCTAATTTTAAGTGGTTTTGTTAAAGTATTAATGATGCCAGCTGTCAGGATAATAATAAATCGACTTGGAAATCTTTGACTTAGTTAATTGGAGGTTTAAATATGACTTGTTCCACATTCTCTTAGAAAAGACAATTTGTTTGTAGTTTGTTGTGCAGTGGGGAGTGAGGAGCCTTCCTCTTAAAAGTCATTTTAGGAAAACACCCTGAAAAATCCTGGCACTCATTTCCTCAACAACTGGACTAGTGTGCTGACGGTCACCAACTAAACACGCCTGGACTAAACCGCCTGCTCGCACAGTGAGACCCTCAGACTCAGCTCTGTGTAAACACCCTGCAGCAGCCTCTGAAAGTGATTTTTTTTGATTCCTCATCAACTTCTAGACTCTACCCAGGCCACAGAAGAGGTTGAAAATGGTTTGGGAAGCTTTTTGCGCATATGAACAGTCAAAAATCACTTTAGAGGTTCATTTTAAAGCTGACATTAAAAAAAAAATCAGGATTTAAAAAAAAAATTCCAATGATATTCCTCATATAAATAGAAAAAGCAATCATGAAATTCATTTGGGAAAAATAAGAGACCCAGAATAGCTAAAGCAATCTTTAGCAGGGAGAGTGAAGCAGGTGGCATCACTATACCATACCTTAAACTATACTACAGAGCAATAGTTACAAAAACAGCACGGTATTGGCTCCAAAACAGACTGGTAAACGAATGGTACAAAATAGAGGACACAGACACTAACCCAAAAAGCTACAATTATATTAGACAAAGGTGCCAAGAACATGCATTGGAGAAAAGATGGCCTCTTCAACAAATGGTGCTGGGAAAACTGGAAATCCATATGCAATAAAATGAGATTAAACCCCTATCTCTCATCATGAACAAAACTCAAATCAAAATGGATTAAGGACTTAGGAATACAATCAGAGACCCTGTGTCTAATAGAAGAAAAAGTAGGCGTTAGTCTCCATCATGTGGGATAGGCTCCAACTTCCTTAATAAGACTCCTGTGGTGCAAGAATTCAAATCAAGAATCAATAAATGGGATAGATTCAAACTAAAAATTTTCTTCTCAGCAAAAGAAACAATCTGTGAGGTGAATATGGAGCCTGCATGTTGGGAGCAAATCTTTACCCCTCACACATCAGATAGAGCACTAAACACTAGGGTACATAAAGAACTCAAAACCTAGACACCAAAAAATCAAAATAACCCAATCAATAAATGGGCCAAGGACCTTGAGAGACACTTCTTAGAAGATGATGTACAATCAACAAACACATGAAAAAATGTTCATCATCACTAGCAATTAGAGAAATGCAAATCAAAAGCACTCTAAGTTTCATCTCACTACAGTCAGAATGGCAGGTATTATGAAGACAAACAACAATAAGTGTTGGCAAGAATGTGGGGAAAAAGTACACTCATACACTGCTGTTGGGACTGCAAATTGGTGCAGCCAATATGGAAAGCAGTATGGAGATTTCTTGGAAAATTGGGAATGGAACCATCATTTGACCCAGCTATCCCTCTCCTTGGTCTATACCCAAAGGACTTAAAAATAGCATACTACGGGAACACAGCCACATCAATGTTTATAGCAGCACAATTCACAATAGCTAAATTGTGGAACTAAACTAGATGCCCTTCAATAGATGAATGGATTTAAAAAATGTGACATATATACAAAATGGAATATTACTCAACAATAAAAGAGAATAAAATCATGGCATTTGCAGGTAAATAGATAACATTGGAGAAGATAATGCTAAGTGAAGTTAGCCAATCCCCCCCAAAAAACAAATGCCAAATGTTTTCTTTGATATAAGGAGTCTGATTCATAGTGGAATAGGAAGAGGGAGCTTCAGAGGAATAGACAAACTCTATATAGGGCAGAGGGGTGGGAGGGGAAGGGAGAGGGCATGGGGTAATTAATGATGGTTGAATGTGATGATCATTATTTTCCAAAGTACATGTATGATGACACAAATTGGTATAAATATACTATGTATACATCAGAGATATTAAAAAATGTGTTCTATATATGTAATAAGAATTGTAATGCATTCCGCTATTATATATAAATAAAAATAGCACATTATATCATTTATAGGAAAAAGAATGAAATTAGAGAGCATAGTGTTAAACAAAGTGAACTAGACCATAAAAGATTGCATGCATATACTGTATGTTTTCTTTAATATGTGGAAGCTAGTAAAAAAAAAGAGAGATAAAATAAAAGGACCTCATGAAAGCCAAAGGGAGACTAGTAAGGTAGAAGAAAGGGATCAGAGGAGGGAGCAGGAAAGGGTAAGAGGTAGTATTGGGGAATGAATCTTATCAAATTATGTTATGTATGTGCACACACCAATATGCAACAATGAAAGTCACTATTAGGTATAGCTAATATGGACCAATAAACAATAAGAAAGTTGAAAAGATTAAAAAATAAAAACAAACAACAAAACAATAAAAACAAAAACAAACCACAAGTATTCCCCTATACTTCCCTCTGTTCCCCTATGGTGATGGTCAAATGATGGCAACAACTGTCAGAAACATACAGGAGCTGTAATAGTTCCAATTCAGTCTTATTTGTTTAAATCGTTTTTAAAAATTTCACCTTACACTTTATTTTATTTCATTCCCAGGAAGATCTAGAGTAGCACATAAAAATAAATTGGATTTTAAAAAGAGAGAAGTCTGCTTTGTAAAAGGCTAGTTTCTAAGTGCTTATGCTACTGTGGAGAGGCCTAATCTCAGGGGTATTAGTACACCAGTTCATCTCATATTTCTTTTATTAAATATGTATTGATTTTTGTCTCTTCTAATCACTACTTCTGCACTAATAGTTACTGTACAGGAGGTCACTGTTTATTTAGGTAGTTCCAATATGAACCCATGTAATGAAAACAAGGTATTAAATGATTGAAGAATGGTAAGGATAAATTGTATCTGTTTAGAATGCTTAGATAAGGTAGGATAAAGTGACCAGTACACTGGGATGGCAGTTAAAAAACAGAAAGGGTATGAAGTAAAGTCAACAAATTTAGGCAAAAGTGTATACTTGGTGTTGTGGTCTATATCTTATGTTAAACTGAACTATTGCTGAAACCACTACTACTTTCTAACAGAAACCAACTATTACCGTTTTGTGCTCAATTCTACTAGCTGGCTCTTAAATTTTCTTATTCCTTAAGTAAGGTTTAAAAAGAATTGTCATAGGCAGAAAATTCGAAAAGATACTAGCTTACAATGCTTCAGAATGTTACATAATGATATCAAAGTGCTAAGGATGAAAAAATAAGATGGAAAAGCATTACATCCAAAACTGCACCATGGTTCGACTCCAAGTTCATTTCCTCTGAACCTCATATCCTCTGAACTTCTCAAATGTAAGGTGCATTTCATATGACATTGTAGTATTTGAGTAATCATCTTCCTGGTTTTTCCTTTATCTTAGCCCAGGACTTATAATATTATACAGCACTCTAATCACAGAATGCTGTGATCAAACTTTCCTGGGATATCAATGCATATCATAGGTTGCTTATTTTACCTTGAAAATACATCTGGGTGAAGAAAAAAGGGAAAGATACAAGGTGAAGGGAACTGGCAGACATGAGGGCATTAATGTGCAAATGTATTCAGACTGCAATCGAAACACATGACAGGATTTTGAGGCTGGACACTATTTAAGATGATCTATACCTTTGTCCTCCCCATCATTAGCATAGATAAGAGACTGTCTTAGGTCATTTTCCTAGGGAATCCTTCCTGATCTCTTAGAACCCCCTCAACATACCCTATATATATATATTTCCTTTATAGCATTTATCAGATTTGTGATTAGTTATCTGTGCACATCTATGTGAAAGATTTTTTGAATGATGGACTTTGAGCTTCCCTAGAATAAGGGTCCCAAGTCTATCCTGCTCACTGTGGCCCTCCCAGCTTGGCACAAGGTATGTACCTCATACAATATTCATTTATTCACTGATTTCTGATTGCTTTGTCTTAAACCTTTAGCATGTGAGACCAAAGAGCTTCTTTTGAGGAGAAAGTAGCATGTCACAAGCAGAGAGATGCTGATACATTCATTTTTACTTCTCGGTACACCTCCTATTATTTGCCTTTATGTTTTGGGTTTTTAATGGTGCCCGTTCTATTGGCCACTTGACCCAAAGAGTCTCTTTGCAGAATGGCAGCTCTATCACTCATCTTAGAGTGCAAAAAGAAAAAGAAGAAAAGATAAAAGATAAATAAACTTAAAACTTGAATGATATCAAGTACTTTAAAAAAAATGGTCAAACTCATTTATAGGGAATCAGAATACTTTCAAGAGAAATAGTGGAGGAGTAGAAAAATAGGAAGACTGAGGGAGGAAGTTTACAGAAAGACCAAGTGGATACTTGTGCTTCTACTTGTTTCAGTTACATGGGAATATTAGATGAACTCTAGATAGAGCAAAGGGGAGAGGGGATGGGAGGGGGCATGGGGGTAGGAAAGATGGTGGAATGAGATGGACATCATTACCCTAAGTATATGTATGAAGACATAAATTGAGTAATCATCTTCCTGGTTTTTCCTTTATCATTGCCAATTATCAATTTGTGTACAACCAGAGATATGAAAAATTGTGCTGTATATGTATAATATGAATTATAATGCATTCTGCTGTCATATACAACAAATGAGAATAAAAAGAATTTTTAAAAATAGGGTTCCTTTTATCTTCATAGGTTTGTAGTAAATTATACACCCCTGTAAAGCAGGAAGGAGAAGTGGAAGACAGGTCTTCATATTCCACCTTTCAAAGCCATATCAAGGCAAATTGCCAAGGCTCCACTGTGACATAGCCAGTTTAAACACTTCTTGCCATCTGCCAGAGTTATTTGCCTTTATGTTTTGGGTTTTAATGGTATGTGTGGGCTTGCCTCTGGCTTTGGTGGTTACTTGAATTGATAGTACCATTTTCTGTATTTGGTTTCATATTTTTATGAAAATATGTATGAAATCTTTTAAGGGTAGGGCCTACAGCTATTAAGAAAATAATATACAGGGATCCCAGCACAATGGATGTAAAAGTTAATTAAAACAAAACACACAATAACAACAGCAAAAACAAAAGCAAGCCACATTCTATTCATTGAGAACATGAAAACTGCAGAGTCAGGGGGCATCAGTGATTTAAAAGGTTACTTGGTTTCTTTACATGTAAAATCAGGGACTGGACTCAATGACCTCATAAGTTGAGCTGGTCTGACTGAACTGTTTTACATGGATTTCCTGATATTATATGCAAAAGATTCCTCCAAACATGCAGAGAGAAGTAATATACATCTGAAAGCTAAATACAGGCTTATACACATAGCAAAAGAGGTGTGATGGCCCATACCTGGAATCCTAGTGGCTCCGGAGGCTGAAGCAGGAGGATACCAAGTTCAAAGCCAGCCTCAGCAACTTAGTGAGGTACTAAGTTATTGAGTGAGACCCTGTCTCTAAATTAAACACAAAAAGGGCTGTGGATGTGGCTCAGTAGTTGAATGCCCCTGGATTCACCCCTCATCCCCAGAAAAGAAATAACAAAAGATTTTTGGTTACTGTCAATGTTACTGTTCCTGCTTTATGACTTAGAAAAGATCAACAAGACCTCCTGTGAAAGCATGTGCCAGAACTTCCTACCATATGGGGTACTGGTAACATAATGAGCTTGTCATCTCCTCCAACAACTTGTGGTGAGGCCTTGACAGACAACCTTACTCCTCCACATCTCCCTTTCCAAATCTGGTCTAGCACTGCTGTGCCATTAACATCATAGATCTAGTACAAAAACTAATGGAGACATGGAATAAGCACAGAACAAATGTACAGCCTCTCAAATATGCCAGAAGACTGTTCTCAAAAGTGATGGAATGCCATCTAGGTACAAATAAAACACAGTGCAATACAAAAGATGTCATGAAAGATCTGAAAAGGCTTTCCATGCTAGAGGTCAGGTTTGCTGTGTTTTCTACCTCACCCAGAGCAACCACATTACTTTCTATCAGGTTGATTCTCTCAATGAGATTACTGAATGTCTCATTCATACCCTCCAATGTAAGATGACTCTGTCTGTGGTATGCCACAAGGGCACTGTTTACCTCTTCTGAAGAATTATGAAGGTACAGGATATCCTGGAGTGGAAATAAAGCAAGTTGCAGAATCCAACTACAGATGAAGATTAGGCAAAGTAGAAGAGGAGCACCGCCAAATAACCATGGTTATGGAAAGTTACTGAAGTAAACTCCTTTTCCTGGTAGTGACCACCAATTGTCTGTCTCTGCTTTGTCCTTCCCACTCTAAATTGTTCCTAGTTTACTCCTTCTGGAATTGTTTGATCTCAGCTCAACAGGAGGGGAAAGGAATGAGAACTACTTACATAGTTTATTCTCTGGTCCTAGAAAGCAGAGCTTTGAGAATTAATTTCTCAATGTTCACCTCATCTGCTGGCAGGAAAACCTGCTGGGGAATTAACTGAAAGTTCCATTAACCTAATTTGTCAGTACAAAACTACCCTAGAAACAATACCAATTACTGAATTGGCTGGTAATAAATAAATAAATAAATAACAGGTAGTGCATTATTTAGTATAAAATTCAATTATTTTTATTGACATCCTATAGAACTGGCTGCTACTTAAAACAGAATGATGACTCTAGGATTCTAAAGGGCATTAAAATTAGGACAAAAATTCTTCTTAGTGAGCTGGGATTGTAGCTCAGCGGTAAAACATTCACCTAGCACATGAGAGGCCCTGGATTTGATCTTCACCATCATATAAAAATAAATAAATAAAATAAAGATACTGTGTCCAGCTACAACTAAAAAATAAATATTTTAAAAAAAAAACTTAGTGAAGATTTTCTTCATTCTCTTTAATGTGATTCCCAACTCAATATCCTTTTTTCTTCCCTCTTGCCTTTCATCTTCTGACTTTAGAAAATACTGATTTTCAAGGATATGCTTCCTAACAGTCTCAGAATTTACTGAGGCTTAAAAAAGCCACCACTCTGTATTAATCTGCTATCCATCCATTTAGAGTGATATTTTTACAGTTTTGGGATAATCTGATTATTCTATCTCTTTCAAGATGTGAAAAGGAATTTACTCTACAGATTGATATGCAGGGGGAAAAGTAGAGTGCCCAAGAAGAGACAAGGCATGTTCTGGATCCCAAGATTTCAACATGCATCCCCCTCTGCTTACCTCTCCAGCACGTGAACAGAGTTTTGATGTGCCTGCAGAGGCACCATGGAGCTATGCCCAAATTCCAGGCTTCCAACACAGCCCACTGAGGTCCTTAGATAAAAAGTACTTGTTTCAAATTCTCACTTTGGGTTTTATTATCAATTTCTGATGTAGCTGAAGGTGATGGAATGATTTGGTTGCTTCCATTGGTCATCTTTGAAAAGTGCCGAATCTATTAACACAAACAGAGGGTAGTGTAGACAATAATTACTAGGTCTACTTAACTTTCTGGGAAAGTCCTGGAACATTCTAGCCTTCCCCTGAGTGCACCCACAAATTAATCTACAGGCATCTCCTAAGAACATATAGTGTGACTAGTTTCATGCTAGTTTCTGAAGCCATCATGGACTTTTGAGGATCTCCAGCAAAAAGCATGGGTTGGAGCAGTAATACCCAGATTTCCTCAAGAAAATAAGATCCTTCTAGTCTATTTTTCAATCTCTTAATGGAATAAACTTTCCTCCCTCATCACCATGCTCCCAGAGAAACTACATAATCACAAGAACATTCCTGTGACCAACTCAGTCTAAACCTGAGAGGGAGTGGTCATTTCCACTGGATTAAAGGGGTTTGGATATTATCAGCCAGCCACATACCCACAGACCTCAGGTGTTGAATATAACCACTGATCAGAACATTTTTAGTTGATCAGAACATTTTCCTGTTCCCTCCCCACTGCACTAGTCTCTCTCTGCAGAGACTGACGTATATATGCTTAAATACATTTTTTCCTATTAGTAGGAAAAACTGAGCATCTTAATCCTTCACAGCTTGTAACTATGACTTAGTATAAATTAGATCATTAGGAGGATTATTACTGGCAGCTATGGAACTTTATAAAGAGGCAGACTTATTTACAACAGAATGTAATTGGTGAAAGTAAATTGTTTTTCTTGAAATCTGACAACCCAGGCATTTATCAACCCTGGTTTTATGAGGAAAAGAAAGTAACATTAAAGAGAAAAGGAAGTAAAACCAATAGTTCTAGAAAGGAGGAATTTTTCAATTAGGAAAAAGTATTTCAGAAAATGATTAGTTACTTAGAAACATTTTCAAGATAAAAGAACTGCTAAGTGGGTGTAGGGTCTATATTATCATAGGTCAGAGAGTTCCTCAGTGGCAGATCCAACTAGAAGTCAACTGTCTAACCCCTTGGATTAGTTCCACTAAATAACAATGATTTTTGTATCTGAAGAAAATGAAAAATCCTTCCTCCTGAGCTCTCTGATACAGCTCTGGTCCCTTTGGTACAAACTGCCCAATTTAAACTCAGAACTCTGAACTTTGTAGAGAGCATATGGGGCAGATCTAGAAATTAGTGGACAGGCTAGAAAACTTGTCTGTACTTTGAATAGTCCTGCTTCCATACATATAACTCATCTCCTTAACAACACAGCAAGGGCTATACCATCCTTTTTGGCCCTTCATAAACCTTTCATGAAGCTGTTACCCACTAAGTGATCAATTTAGGTCTCTGAATGACTGCAGGCGTATGCAGCAGCATTATTAGACCCAGACACATTTGAAAACAATTCCTGGGCACTGAAGAAAAGGGTTTAATTCCACCTCAGCTATTTGTTGCAGCATAACAGTCATCCCCAAACTTTGTAGCTTAAAATAATAATGAAGAACAACTTATTACATCTTGCAATTCTGTGCCTATGCTTACTGAGGTGGGGGACATGATTCGGTTCTATGCATTGTAAACTGGAGACCACACATATGGCCACATTCCATCAATACCAGGCTGAAGCTGAAACATCCAAGATGGGTTTTCATTCTTTAGATGAACTCTTCCTTTGGCCTCTCAGTGCTTGGGAGTTTAAGAGCCCTGCCCAAATTCCTGATGCTCAGAATAATGAGAAGCAATAACGGACATGGTTTGTTATGTAGCAATAAACTGAGACAATTCTCCACACATCCTTTTTCTTCTTTTGTTTTTTCCATTTTCTAACCTACCCATTCTATCCTCAGGAACTGTGTTTTGTCATTATCTCCTCTAGCACCATGTTTGCAAGACTCAGCTTTCAATTCTCTTTTCCTTAACTGCTTACTTTACAAACTGTAGAACAGTAAGTACTGTTGTTTATTAGATATTTTTAAAAGGTACGTAGAGGACCCGTTCAAATTGGGAAAGTTGGCATCATGACTCTTATACAGAAAAGTGTGAAAGCCTACTACCTTTCTGTAGTATCTGCTGATCTCCTTACCATATCGCTTTTCAAGCAATTCCATGGTTTCCTTGTGTTCATCCAGAGTTTTCTGTATTGCCTCCACAGATAGATGAACACTGTTTAAAGTACTGTTGACGGAAGCCAGGTACAACACTGTGGACTGTTACAGGGTCAGAAGCAAATGACGACCTTTGAACAAAAATAGCTATAAACAATTTTTAGCTCTGAGAAACCCAGCATTGAAGAAATGAAGGAAAGGGCAGGAGAGTCCCCGCGTGAGCAGAGGGTGCCTGAGGCAGGGGCCAAGAAACAAAGTTCCCGGGGCTGCCTCCGGGCCGCTGTCTGGGCTGCCTGTTGGGCCGCTCGCCGCCTCGCGAAGGCCATGGCTTCCAAACTCCTGCGCGCGGTCATCCTAGGGCCGCCTGGCTCGGGCAAGGGCACCGTGTGCCAGAGGATCGCCCAGAACTTTGGCCTCCAGCATCTCCCCAGTGGCCACTTCTTGCGGGAGAACCTCAAAGCCAACACGGAAGTTGGCGAAATGGCAAGGCAGTACCTGGAGAAAGGTCTTTTGGTTCCAGATCACGTGATCACACGCCTAATGGTGTCAGAGCTGGAGCTCAGGAGCGGCCAACACTGGCTACTGGATGGTTTTCCAAGGACAATAGTACAGGCTGAAGCCCTCGACAAAATCTGTGACCTGGATCTAGTGATCAGTTTGAACATTCCATTTGAAACACTTAAAGATCGTCTCAGTCGACGTTGGATTCACCCTCCTAGTGGAAGAGTCTATAATTTGGACTTCAACCCACCTCATGTGCATGGAATTGATGACATCACAGGTGAGCCACTCATCCAGCAGGAGGATGATAAGCCTGAAGCGGTTGCTGCCAAGCTAAGACGGTATAAAGATGCAGCCAAACCAGTCATTGAACTATACAAGAGTCGAGGAGTGCTCCACCAATTTTCTGGGACGGAGACAAACAAAATCTGGCCTTATGTTTACACACTGTTCTCCAACAAGATCACACCTATTCAGTCCAAAGAAGCCTACTGAGCCTGTCCCATGGAAGAACCAAGAAGATGTGGTCGTTCATTCAATCGTGTGTGTAACATTGATGCCATGTCCAAATTAGAAGTCAGCTGAGATAGCTTACAGCATCTTTTCTGTGTAAATGGTGAACTGATAGGAAAACTAGTAAATAGAAAGGGCTCATGAAGAGGCCCTCCTCTGTCTTTCAAAAGAAGGCAACTCTGGACCTGTCAAGCCCTTCACAAGCAAGCCAGTGCAGGCTAGATTTCAGGTGTCTAACCTACACTCTAGTTGGGTTTGGACAGCCAAGTTGTTGCTTTAATAGCCTCTTTTTGCATGTGATGACGGTGGTCTCTGGTTCTCCCCACCCTTCCAAGGTATTGAAACACAGAACCAGTAAACACGAGAATGCAGAGGACTCTAGTCTTGGCTTTGCCACAGTTCTCTGCTTTGTGCCCCCTCGTAACAGTGGAATTGAAGCTTATTGCTCTCAGTGGTTGCTTCTCTTGAGTGACTGTGTTCACAATTCATTTTTTTTTTTCCTGCTAAGAGTAACGCCTTTCATCCATGCTCCATGGTGTCCCTCCTTAGCAGATATCCTGGAATGAAAGGATTTGTTTTCTTACATCTGTTTTCTCTCATCTTAGGATATTAAATAGAGGCTATTAAATAATACAGATAGTTGCTGCATTTATCCCTCTCAAATTTGTTTTTTTATGAACTGAGAGCTAGGGGTTACATTGAATCTCTTCATGCATCATGAACTGAGCCATGCAGAGGGTCTTATTTAAATGCTGGTCTGATTCTCATGGGCTTGTTCTGCTCATTTTATTGTGAAAAAAAATTAGAACCTCCCCCGCTGAATCTTTTGGAATCCTCAAAAATTAATCTATAGAAATGTTGGAAGATCATATTTTGTGTATAGAGGAAATAAGACCATATGGAATTACTGGACTAATAGAATAGTTAAGCTTTTTATTCAAGACAACAAAATGAATTTTGAATATGCTGCTAAATATTGATGGTGACAGTGTTTTTTCTTCTGTGAGTGATCCAAGCCGATTTATAAATAGTCTTTAAAGGGAACAGAGCCTTGTGGGGTTGAGGAAAATATTGCACTAGCTGTATCTAGATTAAGTTTGACAGCTTTACAACCCCCCATCCCCCCATTCCAAAGATGCAGTCTATGGGGTGGCCATATAGCCTAGAAATAAAGATCTTAATATTTTGCTATTCCTTGTATCAATAAGTCCTTTGTTAAAAGACTTTCCTGGTTTCCAGGCTTGGTGGCCACCTTGTATAATTCTTGCTCTTTTTTGGAAAGAACAATGAAGTTTATTCCTGCTGCCTTAAAAAAAAAAAAAAAAAGAAAAGAAATGAAGGAAAAACTCCATTTTTGTATAATCCTCCATTTTTGTATAATTCCTATTGGGAATGCTCTGCCCAGGTTCTCTGCACATTTGTTTGTGTCACAGATGGTTGCAAAAAGATGCATGGGGCTTTAAAAAATGAGATAAACTTTCAAAGCCAAAAAATAGCAAAGGATAATGAGATTCTGCTCCAGGAAGGTGACAGATCCTGGCCTGCAATCATTATATCTCTTGGAGAGGGAGATGGAGCCTGATGGTGGATAAAGTTCAAAGGACAGCAGGGTGGTCATGAGGCAGGGCTGGAATTCAAACAGCCTGGGCTGAACTCCCTCCACACTGATCCTTAGCACATCATCTCATCTCTTGGTTCCTCTGTTTCCTGTTCTGCACAAAGAGGTTAATCAAAACACCCTTCTTGGAAGGTACTAGATGGTCTGAAAAGGAAGCAGCATTTGCAAAGTGCTGAGCATAAGCTCTGTGTCATATGTGGGGTCATGAAGAACAGCTTTCTGTGCATGCAGAGAAGTAGAAGCCAAGAATGAAAGGTCACTGTTTACTGATGTCTGCAAGTAAGATGGTGTGTAGGTTTGAGAATTCTTTTTTAAATTTTCAAAAATTTTTAAAATTTTTATTTGATTCCTAATAATTGGGCATATCGATGGGGACGGTGTGACCTGTCAATACATGTATGCATTGTGTAATGATCAGATCCAAGCCATCAGCATGTCCATCACCTCCAACATTTGTCATTTCTATGTATTAGGCATGTTCAAACTCATCTCCATGAACTATTTTGAAGTATAGAGTTAATTGCTGTCAATCATATTTACCTTATTGTGCTACAGAACATTAGGAGTTAATCCTCCTATCCATCTGCACTCCAGTACATGTTAGCCATCTTTTCTCTGTCCCTGTGTCCCCTACCCCTTCCCATGCTGCAGTGTGGTTCAGGAATTCTTGAATATAAGAGTTCAGGACAGAGTCAAGCAAAGAGGTGGTACCCCTGTGGCTTACTCATCTGTCTCCCCAACTCAACTGTGAGATCCCCGGCACACAGTAGATGGCCCCAGGAACTCTGCCAGATCCATGAGTAACCAGCAACAGTGACAGCTTCAGGACAACATTTGTGTCAGCATTTAACCTCCATCAAATCCCAGTCACTGCCACCATTCCAGGTTGCAAAAGAGACCTACATGCAGGATGCCTTCAATTCTGTACAAAATGGACAGCAAATTTATTCCTCCCTGTCCCTCTTTCTTTTGCAGGCCTTTAGCAGGAAGATACATTTCTACTGTTTTGGCCAAACAGAAATTGTGGTCCCATTTGTTTGGTGCAGACACTGAACAGCTGTTTGCTGTGGTATCAACATTGTTACAAGAAATCATGGGGTAACTGCTTTTCTTCATACCAACCAATAGCATAGAAGCACTTCTGTCCCCATTTTATAGATGATAAAGCTGTATGAGGCCCTGTTGTGAGGTAAGGGGACTTCTCTCTTCTCCAGTGATAGATGTTTTCAGATCTACATCTTTCCTGCCATCCTGCTTGGTCAAGGTCCTCTAGAACCTCTGTATGGGAGATATGAGTTCTGTCCCAATTCTACAGAGATGGGAGTTGAGGCTTGGAGATATAGAAAACATGGCAGGGGTGGGATTTGGAAGTGGAGTTTTTGACTCCAGAGAGCCTTGGATACTGACTGTGGGCACTGCCTTCAGGAAGATTGGCATGCCCATCTTTAATCAAGAACAGTAAGGAACTAGTCAAGACTATCCAATACTCTAGTAGCAGCACTCTCAATAAAGCAGATGAATATATTTTATTTGTCTGGTTGCTTATGTCTATGTCTATGTCTATGTCTATGTCTACCTCATTCCAACAAGCATATGAGATCTGCCTGACAACTGCTAGCATTGGGCATGAGAAAACTTGGCTGTCCCTGAGTGATTTGGGCAGGACCTTTAAACATCTTCCTTCTATCTTGCCTTCTTATTCCTTTTATCATTCTCTTTCCATTCTTTTCCCTCCTTCCTTCCCTCCTTCCCTCCTTCCTTTTTTTCTACCAGGGGTTAAACCCAGGTACACTGAGCCACTGAGCCACATCCCCAGCCAGAGAAAGGGTGTTGCTAAGTTGCCTTGGACCTTACTAGGTCACTGAGGCTGGCCTCCAATTTGAAATCCTCCTCCCTCAACCTACTGAACCACTGGGCCTACAGGTGTGCACCATCATGCCCCTCTCCTTTTTTTTCTTGGTCTTCTCTTACATCTTTTCTATTTCCTCTCTCCCCAAACTTACATTTTCCCTCTCTCTTTCCTCCTTTTCATTTTCTCTCCTTCTTTCTTATCTCTCAAGCTCTCCACCACCAGTAGCTATTTTGCTCATCTCATTTTTCCCTCTTTAGTCTCTGTTCTATTCTCTCTTCCCTCTTTCCATGTGTTCCTCTATTTGCTTTGCCTGCTTTTGCTACCACACACACACACACATTTCCTTGAGGACCCAGAAGAAGATCAGTTCGTGACTTTGCTCTGTATTGAAGGCACAGTGTCCTTAGCAACCTGACAGCAACCAAATCAAACCAAGCCAAAACCAACAGGGAAGACAGAAAAGGAAAGTCACTCACCAGGTGAGACTCCAGGTCTCTGCTGCTGCAAGCCTGGACTTGTCACAGGTGTGAGGTAACTTGAGGCCCTAATATTGGTTAGCTGCAGGGGACTCACTCCTCTCCCAGAACCTGCCAGTGTTACCCACATTTCTGAAAATGTTAGGATACTGGAAAAAGCTGCTGCCTCTATGGGCCTCCTGACATCCTCTGTTAGGCTAAACTTGTCCTGTTGGATTTTCTGGAGGCCAAGACTCTGCAAAATCCGAAGGTCACATATTTTGATGATTTCCAAAACAGTGGACCTGATGGAAAGGTGATTCATATGATGTCCTGGTGCTCTTTTTTCTTTCTCTTTCTTCTGTTTGTGTTGAAATCTATATCATACACAGAAAAGGGTACAAATTGCTTGAGAGAATTTTACATATCCTCATCATACTCAACCCAGGCTGCCATAATGAGAGACCACAGATGGAATGGCTTACACAAGTGAGATTTGTTGTTCACATGATTCTGGAGGCTGGAAGTCCAAGGTCAAAAGGCCAGGGCTTGCTTTCTGGTGCAGACTCTGGCTGGAAGATGGCTGCATTCTTGATGTATACTCAAATGGACATGCCTTTCCCTCCTGTGTCATGTGGCAAGAGAGAGAGAGAGTGTGAGCCCAAGAGAGTGGACATATGAGTCCTCTGCTGTCACCTCTTATAAGGACACTTATCCTATAGATCAGGCTCTAGGAACTCAATTAACCTTCATCACCTCCTAGAGGCCCTATTTCCCAACACAGTTAAATCAGAAGTTAAAGCATGAACACATGCATTTTTATAGTGTGGGACAAAACTAGGCCATACTGTCACTTACTCTGTCACCTACACAGATCACAGAATCTTTCAGCAGGCTTCCTATGCCCCATCAATGCTGCTTCTCCCCCAAAGTTACCTCTTCTTTCATAATACATGAGTTTTGTCAGTTTTTGACCTTAATAGAAACAAAATGATCAGCTTGGGCTATTTTCCATTTCTGGTTTCTTTTCCTCATCATGAAGACCCTGAGCTTCCTC